CTAGCTGTTTTACCGCTGTCCGAGGACATTCGGTGTCGTGGGAGTTTCTAGGCTAATTTTCATTCTCATCCTTGTTTGGTGTAATTGTCCACGAACATTATATATTTTTTTATTAACACATCGGCCGATTCCCACCAAGGTAGGGTGGCAAAAAAAGGAAAATTTTCATCATCATTCACTCCATCACTGTCTTGCCAGAGGAGTGCTTTACACTACAGTTTTTAAACTGCAACATTAACACCCCTCCTTCAGAGTGCAGGCACTGTACTTCCCATATCCAGGACTCAAGTCCGGCCTGCCGGTTTCCCTGAACCCCTTCATAAATGTTACTTTGCTCACACTCCAACAGCACGTCAAGTATTAAAAACGATTTGTCTCCATTCACTCCATTCAAATACGCTTACATAAGCTTGCTGGAAGTCCAAGCCCCTCGCACAAAAAAAAACTCGTTTGCTCCTTTCCTCCAACCTTTCCTAGGCCGACCCCTACACCCCCATCCCTCCACTACAGAGTTATACACTCTCAAAGTCATTCTGCTTCGTTCTATTCTCTGTACATGTCCGAACCACCTCAACAACCCTTCCTCAGCCGTCTGGACAACAGTTTTTCCAAACTACGTATTCTCTGCGTTATATTTACATCACACATTGCCCTCAGACATGACATCTCCACTGCCTCCAGCCTTCTCCTCGCTGCAACTTTCATCACCCATGTTTCACGCCCATGTAAGAGCATTGGTAAAACTATACTCTCATACATTCTCCTCTTTGCTTCCAAGGACAAAATTCTTTGTATCCACAGACTCCTAAGTGCACCACTCACACTTTTCCCTTCATCATTTCTATGATTCACCTAATCTTTCATCGACCGATCTGCTGACATGTCCACTCTCAAATATCTGAATACATTCACCTCCTCCATGCTCTCTCCCTCCAATCTGATATCCAGTCTTCTGTCGCCTAATTTTTTTGTTATCCTCATAACCTTATACTTTCCTATATTCACTTCTAATTTTCTTCTTTTACATACCCTACCAAATTTATCCACCAGCCTCTGCAACTTCTCTTCCAAGTCTTCCAAAAGCACAGTGTCATCAGCAAAAAGCAACTGTGACAACTCCCACTTTGTGTTTGATTCTTTATCTTTTAACTCCACATCTCTTGCCAAGACCCTCACATTCACTTCTCTTACAACCCCATCTATAAATATATTGAACAACCACGTAATAAGTAAGTAAGTTTATTCAGGTATACACAAATACAGTTGCATAGATTATCATTCATAGCAACATATGTGTAGAGAACCTAGGATAACCCAAAAAAGTCAGATAGAGTGACTTATTTCCACTGGGGTCCTTTAAAAAGTAGCCCCAACAGATGACATCACACATTCTTGTCTAAGGCCTACTTTTACTGGTAAATAATCTCCCTCTTTCCTACATACTTTAACATGAGCCTTTCTATCCTCGTAAAAACTCTTCACTGCTTTCAGTAACCTACCTAGTATACCATACACCTGCAACATCTGCCTCATTGGCCCCCCTATTCACCCCTTCATATGTTTTTCAAAATCCACAAATGCCACAAAAACCTCTTTAGCCTTATCTAAATACTGTTCACCTAAATGTTTCACTGTAAACACTTGGTCTACACACCCCCTTGCCTTCCTAAAGCCTCCTTGTTCATCTGCTATTCTACTCTCCGTCTTTCTCTTACTTCTTTCAGAAATAACTCAACCATACACTTTACCAGGTATACTCAACAGACTTATTCCCCATTAATTTTTGCAATCTCTTTTGTCCGATTTGCCTTTATACGAAGGAACTATGCACGCACTCTGCCAATCTCTAGGTACCTTACCCTCTTCCATACATTCATTAAATAATAGCACAAACAACTCCAAAACTATATCCCGACCTGCTTTTAACATTTCTATCTTTATCCCATCAATTCCAGCTGCCTTACCCCGTTTCATTCTGCATATATATATATATATATATATATATATATATATATATATATATATATATATATATATATATATATATAATATATATATATATATATATATATATTATATATATAATATAATATATATAGTACAGTGCCTGCACTCTGAAGGAGGGGTGTTAATGCTGCAGTTTAAAAACTGTAGTGTAAAGCACCCTTCTGGCAAGACAGTGATGGAGTGAATGATGGTGAAAGTTTTTCTTTTTCGGGCCACCCTGCCTTGGTGGAATCGGCCAGTGTGATAATAATAACAATAATATATATATATATATATATATAATATATATATATATATATATATATATATAATATATATATATATAAATATATATATATATATTATATATATATATATATATATATATATATATATATATATATATATATATATATATATAAATATATATATATATATATATATATATATATATATATATAATATATATAATATATATATATATATATATATATATATATATGTGTGTGTGTGTGTGTTTGTGTGTGTACTCACCTAATTCACCTAGCTGTACTCACCTAGCTGTGGTTGCAGGGGTCGAGACTCAGCTCCTGGCCCCGCCTCTTCACTGATCGTTACTAGGTCCTCTCTCTCTCTCTGCTCCCTGAGTTTTGTCCTACCTCGCCTTAAAGCTATGTATGGTTGCTGCCTCCACTGTATCACTTGCTAGACTTTTTCACTTCCTGACAACTCTATGGCTCAAGAAATACTTCCTAACATCCCTGTGACTCATCTGAGCTTTCAGCTTCCATTTGTGACTCCTTGTTTCTGTGTTCCCTCTCTGGAAAATCCTGTTTTTGTCCACATTATCTATTCCATGCAGTATTTTTCGTTGTCATGTCTCCCCTGACCCTCCTGTCTTACAGTGTCGTCATGCCGATTTCCCTCAACCTTTCTTCGTAGGACATTCCCCTGAGCTCCGAAACTAACCTTGTTGCAAACCTTTGCACTTTCTCTAATTTCTTGTTGTGTTTTACCAGGTGTGGGTTCCAGACTGTTGCTGCATACTCCAGGATGGGCCTGACGTACACAGTATACAGAGTCTTGAACGATTCCTTACTAAGGTATCAGAACGCTATTCTCAGGTTTGCCTGGCGCCCATATGCTGCAGCAGTTATCTGGTTGATGAGTGCTTCCGGAGACGTGCTCGGTGTTATGCTCACTCCAAGATCTTTCTCCTTGAATGAGGTTTGCAGTTTTTGGCCACCTAGCCTATACTCTGTCAATGGTTTTCTTTGCCCTTCTCCAATCTTCATGACTTCGCATTTGGCAGGGTTGAATTCGGGAAGCCAATTGCTGGACCGCGCGTTCAGCCTGTCCAGGTCTCTTTGTTGTCCTGCCTGATCCTCATCTGATTTATTTCTCCTCATTAGCGTCACATCATCTGCGACCAGGGACACTTCTGAGTCTATCCCTTCCATCAAGTCTTTCACATATACCAAAAATAGCACTAGTTCTAGGACTGACCCCTGTGGGACCCCGCTCGTCATAGGCGCCCACTGTGATACCTCATCACGTACCATAACTCGTTGTTGCCTCCCTATCAGGTATTCTCTGATCTATTGCAGTGCCCTTACTGTTATACGCTCCAGATCATCCAGCTTCTGCACGAATCTCTTGTGAGGAACTATGTCGAAGGCCTTTCTGCAGTCCAGCAAAATGTAATCAACCCACCCCTCTGTCTCGTGTGTTACTTCTGTTGCTTTGTCATAAAACTTCAGAAGGATTGCGACACAGGATTTGCCTTCCATGAATCCGCGCTGCTTGCCGTTTGTGATCTTGTTCCGCTCCAGGTGCTCGATCACTCTCCTCCTAATAATCTTCTCCATGACTTTGCATACTATACATGTCAGTGACTCTCGTCTGTATCTTAGGGCCTCGTTTCTGTCTCCTTTCTTAAAAATGGGGACTACATTTGTCATCTTCCATACCTCAGGTAGTTGCCCAGTTTCAAGGGATGTGTTGAAGATTGTGGTTACTGGCACACACAGCATCTAACGGGGAGATGTTGTCCGGCCTCATCGCCTTTGTGTGTGTGTGTGTGTGTGTGTGTGTGTGTGTGTGTGTGTGTGTGTGTTTCGTTTTGTATTGCAACAGTCGCAAATAATTAAGGCCTTTGGAACTGCAGTTGCAAATGTAACTTTCGAGACAATGCAAAGAGAATAAATGAGTTCATCAGAGACCATGGAAGTGTGTCATAATTCAAAGTCTAGCCAGCAAAGGTTGCACCATGTTGCTTTAGGAGTCAGAAAATTAGTTTTAGATAAGACTGAAGCTGACTGCCAAAGTTTCATAACGCTGTTATTAGAGTCATATGACTTGTCAGTAATCATCAAAGAACACCCGATTGTCCTTGCATTTTGATTAAACGCGAAACAAGAGTTCTTCGGTGCTTCTGCTAACTTCCTATGTGTACTTCTATGCACTGGAGATTTTCCTCTGTTCGTATATTTTTGCCACAGCTGTCGTGTAATTGCTGTATCAATTACGAGTCCTGTTCATTCCAAAATTTAAAAAAAAATGCAGTAGACAAGCTAGTCGTTTGCAAGTAATAAGTATTCCTAGTCTGAGAATATTGCTTTGTTTGTAGTCAACTGGTTTAAGCTTGAGAGGAATAAGCACGACAAACAGTTCAACTTTTTTGTTAAGCAATCACTATAAACTGTATAATAATAACCTGAATCAGTAATCCTGAGTGATTGTGGTGTTAGATGATCATAGCTCTTTCCTTAACACTGTAAAATGTCATAATGTAGATAAGGATAAAACATAATCGTACAGTGAACCCTTTTCATGCTAGTAAATTGTTGCAGGAAACAATGAGTGAAATAAAATGCTTAATTAATTCTTCAATGAGTTTTAATACTATAATCTTTGTAAATATTACGTATGGAGGAGAGAGGGAACAAAATTTTCTTTTTGTATTCTTTATCCTCAGAACAATCTTCTAACATTTTACTTGGTTTCTGTTTCAGCTTCCTTAACACAAGAAGCTGCCACGGACATGGGCAAGTGGTTGAGTCCAGTTATCATCGTCCTTCTACTGTTAATTCTGGCCATTGCCATCATCATCAGAATTAGGCAGCTACGAAAAGAAGAATGGGGGGAAGAAGAAAGTCGTGCTTCAGTAGGGAACTCTACAAAGGTGGAATTACTCGACATAGGCTCAGAATCTTCAAGCAGATGCGTTACCCAGACTATGCCCATCAGAAAGACTTGCAGCGCGGATAATGTGGGTTTGACCCAGACAACACCTTCTCCTGGGCGAGGTGTGCGAGGTGTACCACCTTAAAGGCACTACTGCCACTATGTTAGATGATGATGATTATGCTCAGCTGAAGGAAGACGACCAGTAAGAACACTGACGTGTGAAATGGATTTGGAAATTGTAGAGAAAGATCTTGTGAAAGAAATGAAAAGAAATCAAAGCTAGATATGTTTAGTTCGCTGAGCCATCTCAGACAGATATTACCTGTATCCCATTAGTCCAGCAACCACTTCTTCAACGCACTTAAAACTCCTAGTAGCTATATGTCAAAACTCTCAAGAAGCAGAGGAGATCAACTCCCAAAAGATATCTTGAAGCTGCAACTCAAGATTCCAAAGCGGAGAAGGAGCTGCATGTCAACATCCGTATTAACAAAGAACACAGTAGCTATCGGTTAGCACTATCAAGAGAGCTATAAACAAACACCCTCAAGAGGTATGTTTGATGTAAATCAACACCTTTAAGTGGAACAAGAACTGCAGCACAGGTGAGATAATCACGTACTGTCTAAATTTACAATGCAATCGTAAGAACATAAGAAAGAATAAGCACTGCATCAGCCCTATTGGTCCATGCAAGGCAACTCCAAGTCACACTCATAAGAAGGAAGAAGCGCTGCTGCTGGCCTACTGGTTCATGCTAAGCAGGTCTATCTCTCTCTCCCACCCACACTCACTCATGTACTTGCCTAACCGATTTTAAAGCTACATAAGGTTTTAGTTTCAATGTCGCTACTCGGTAGCTTGCTCCACTCATCCACAACTCTATTATTAAAGCAGTGCATTCGTATACCCATTCCAAATCTAAACTTTTCCCTCATGAACCCATTGCCGCAAGTCCTGCCTTGGTTACATATTTTTAGCATTTTATTTATATCCCCTTTATTTTATACTTGTTTTCCATTTATACACCTCATCATACCCACTTATTTTAACGCCTTTCTAGAGACGGCAGATTCACTGCCATCAGTCTGTCCTTGTAGGAGGAAAGATTTCTCAAACATGGAATCAACTGTTTTTCTTTCTCTGTAAATTTTTCAACGCATTTATTTGCATTCTGTAATATGATTGCCAGAATGTTCAGCATAATATAAATGAAGCCTAGTTAACGTTATATAGATCTGAATAATAACCTGAGGACTCTCTTATTTATACTTATTGTTATGTACTCAAAAACTACATTTGCTTTATAGCAAAATAAATATTCACAGTTTTCTTTGTTTTAGATTACTGCAAACCAGAACTCCTACATCTTTCTTGTATTTACAGTGATTAAGAGCTATATTATATAGTTTATAAGCCCCATGATTATTTTTTTTCCAAGTTTTGGAGCTTTGCATTTGTCTGTATTAAACTACATCTGCCATTCTCCGACCACTTCATCAGTCTTTACAGCTGAAGCACTCTAGTGTCCTCGTTATAATTAATCCGTTGCCTGTTTTGGTGTCATCACAAAACTTGTCGTTTATGTATATTGTGAACCAAAAAAGACATCCAACACTGATCTCCGTGAAACACCGCTTGTGACGCATCCTCACTCTGATTTCTCCATATTTATGCAAACTCTCTGTTGCCAATCTGTCAACCAGACCTCAATCCGGAAAAAAGATTGACCTCCTTATCCGCGTACCTCTACTTTCCCCAACAATCTTCGACGTGGATCTCTGCCAAAAACCTTGCTGAAGTCCTTATACACAATATCATATTCATTACCATGATTTACCTTCCCAAATATCTTAGTAAAAAAGTTGGTAAATTCATGAAGTAGGAATGCCCTTTGTAAATCTGTGCTGAGATAGATGTTCAATTTATGTCTTTCATAGTGGCTTCGAATAGCCTCACCAATTATTGATTCCATCAATTTTCACCACAATGGAGGTTAGGCTAATTAGTTTATAATTCAGAACAGACGACCTGTCTCCAGCTTTGTAGATGGGTATCAAATTCACCATTTTCCACTAAGCGGGATCTATGCCAGTTTGTAGTCAAATGTTGAGAAGACTAGCCAACAGTTTGCTAAGTTCCTCCTTATATTCCTTTATAACCCTTTCGAACAGTTCATCAGGGCACGGAGATCTGATAGATTTTTATCTATATATTTGTCTGAGAACCACGTCACTAGTGACTGATTGTGCTCAATTTATTTCCGTCATCTACAATTTTTTAATTTCTGGAATTTCTCTAGTAACTTTCTTCGTAATAACTACGAAGAAATTAAAGTTAAAATTTGTACACATTTGTTTATCATTATCAGTGAGGTGACCAGAGGAACTTTTAACTGGGCCTATTTTGTTCCTAATCATACTCTAATGTAACTGAAAGAAAAGTTTTAGGGTAATCCTCGAATATGTTGTGGCTTTAATTTCATAATCTCTTTAGGATTTTCATATTCCTATTTTAGTTCTCTATTTAATTGAATATATTGATGAATTAATTGCTTTATACCTTTTTGACTCGTCTGTAAATGCTTCTCTTTTGACTTATGACATGTCTTAATCTATTTCTTATTCATTTAGGGTAATTTTTGTTTCATCTGATTTCCGTATTTGGAATATAAGGAGCCTGAGCGGCCTGAATCAGGCTTTGAAAAATTACATATTGGCAGCCATCTTATGGTTTTACGCTCCTACTTTTAGTATAGAAAACCAAGGGATCTAGATACTCGCTGCAATCCACTGTCTCTCTTTGCGTGTTTACCAGTTCCATTGTATTTATTAGTACCTTTATGATGAACAAAGTCTTTTGAACATAACCATGAGGTATCATGGCAATATTTGCCATTTTCATCCCAGGTACTGCAACTTATTTGCTTCTCATACACACCCATAACTCTATGTTCTGTCAATTTTAAGTCCTATTCAACTCAGCAGTTGCCTCCTCCCCCTTGAAATTGTTTGGCTAACATTACTGCCCCTGCCCCAGGGAGATGCACCCTTATATACATATCAAGCTTGTCATAGAAATTATCCCAGTTATTAATGAATGAGACTTCAAGTTCTTTGCATTACCTGTCTAGCCAGCAATTTGCACCAATTGCCCTAGATATCTATTCATTTGCCCACTCCTCTTCTAGGCAAGATGCTACATATGAGTGGGACCTCTCCTTTAGGCCTAATATCTCCTGCCCTTCCCAGTATCGTTTCAACCAGCACTGAGGAATATTCCCCTTACCTGACATGATATAAAGAACATAAGAAAGAAGGAACACTGCACAGGCCTACTGACCCATGCGGAGCAGGTCTATTACCCCCCCCCCGAATTAACCCAATGACCCACCCTCCCCGGATTAGCCCAAGGACCCACCCAATCTGGTCACCTCCACTCAAGGAAGGAGCACGGCGCCAGACCCAACAAGCTAGTCAGGTCCAACTCACACCCACTAATGTATTTATCTAACCTATTTTTAAAACTGCACAACTTTTTAGCCTGAATAACTGTACACGGGAGTTTGCTTCACTCATCCACAACTCTATTACCAAACCAGTGCTTTCCTATATCCTTCCTGAATCTGAATTTTTCCAACTTGAAACCATTGTTGCGAGTCCTGTCTTGGCTGGAAATTTTCAGGACGCTATTTACATCCCCTTTATTTATTCCTGTTTTCCATTTATGCACCTCGATCATATCCCCTCTAAGTCTATGCCTTTCGACAGAGTGCAGATTCTGGGGCCTCAGTCTATCCTCACATGGAAGATTTCTGATACATTGGATTATCTTTTTCATCCTCCTCTGTACGTTTTCCAGAGCTTTTATATCCATTCTGTAATACGGTGACCAGAACTGAGCAGCATACTCTAAATGAGGCCTAACCAAGGATATATAGAGTTGAAGAACAACCTGAGGACTTCTATTATTTATACTTCTAGATATGAAGCTAAGAATTCTGTTAGCTTTATTGCGAACACTAATGCACTGTTGTCTTGGTTTTAGATTACTGCTAACCAGAACTCCTAAATCCTTTTCGCGATCAGTAGTATTAAGATCTACATTATTTAGTTTATATGTGGCATGGTTATTTACCTTTCCAACATTTAGAACTTTGCATTTGTCAATATTAAACTGTATCTGCCCCATCTCCGACCATTGCATCAGTCTATTCAAATCATCCTGAAGTGCTCTAGTGTCCTCATTAGATTGAATTGGACGGCCTATTTTGGTGTCATCAGCAAATTTGCTTATGTCGCTATTTATTCCCTCATCTATGTCGTTTATGTAAATTGTGAACAACAACGGGCCCAACACTGACCCCTGAGGAACACCGCTTGTGACGTGGCCCCATTCAGATTTCTCCCCATTTATGCAAACTCTCTGCTGCCTATTTGTCAGCCATGCCTCTACCCAGGAAAAAATTTCTCCTCCTATTCCGAGTGCCTTAAGTTTCCTCGATAGCCTCTGGTGTGGAACTCTATCGAACGCCTTACTGAAGTCCATATACAAATATCATATTCATTACCATATCTACCTCCTCACACACGTTAGTGAAAAAAGTTAGTAAATTCGTAAGACAGGAACGCCCCTTTGTAAAACTGTGTTGAGATTCATTAATCAATCTGTACCTATCAAGATGGCTACGAATTGCTTCGGCAATTATTGATTCCATAAATTTTTCCACTATGGAGGTAAGGCTTATTGGGCTATAGATCGAAGCCATGGACCTGTCACCTGCCTTGTAAATAGGTGTTACATTTCCCATTTTCCACTTGTCAGGCACTATGCCAGTTTGTAGTGATATGTTTAAAAAGATTAGCCAAAGGTATGCTATGTTCCTCTTTACATTCCTTTAACACCCTTGCAAACAGTTCATCAAGACCTGGGGATCTGTTAGGTTTTAGTTTCTCTATTTGTCTGAGGACCATGTCACTAGTTACCGCAATCGTACATAGTTTATTACCAATCCTGTTCTACATAATCTATTATTTCAGGAATATCGCTTGTATTTTCCTGGGTGAACATGTTGACTAGCTCCTGGTAAACACACTGTTATCTCACTTTCCTATCTCTGTTACAGAAGGCACGGTCAATATATTTTACCTGTGAGTCACCGACCACAAGGATATTCGTACCTATTTTAACAGAGACTTTAGTGTTTCCTTTATCCTCACTGATCAATGAAGAGAAGCGATTTCCTACCATCAAATCAGCACTTTAAACCTTCCTTACTTTCATGTTTCTTCCTTTGCCGGTAACTTCTACCCACTTGCAATGGCTGCCAATCTGTTCATCGCTTCTGGTAACCTGTTTCTCTTCATTAAGTCCAACCTCCTCACATTCATTGCTATACTTATCCAGGCAAATTTACAGTTTCTTATTTTCCTCCTTGATAAGTAATACCTCTTCTTTCAACACCGTGAACTCAGATTCTAAGACACTACAGAAGAAAGGCATGGTGCTCAGTAACACTCGAAACTAATCACCCAAAATATCTCAGGAGATGTACGACCTCTCGCGACCACAGACACACCAAAAGAACATTTTAGGCTGCTCATTTGTGTGCCTGCACTACCATAGTACTGCCAATGGTTTCAGCTTGTTCAGTGGTATACTCGGCAGTGCAGTGGACTAAGGCTAGTAAGGCAAGAGAAAAAAAATTAATTTTTGACTACCAGGAATTGTTGAAGAGCCAGCGTCTCTCACTGTCAAGAACCCAAGGTTGCAACAGCTGTTTCATGAGCCTAGTTTTCCTGTCATGATTTATATACGAGAATGGTGAAATGAAAATTTATTAACACAAAGTTTCCTTTGAAAACCTGGGGTTTGAAGCTTCTTCAGTCTCCTCAGTAATATTGTAGAACTCTGTGCTGGAAGGCAGCCATTATCTACGAAGTCAAACTATAGTCACCAGTGAATATTAATCAGGGTTAAGTTTCTCGCACGGTCTGTGTTGAAACACTGATAATGATTAGGAGAGCACAACGGATATCGGTTAACTATTGAGATGTTTAGTGATTCTTATATAGTGGTGACAGATCATGTCACTGACAGTATTGAGCATTATAACGACAGTACAGTGCAATTATGTAAAAGCATATTGTAACTCTGACAAAAAGGTACAACACAATGATAGAACAGTACAATATATAGTCAAATTGAAGGCCAAAGGAAGCCAAAAAAAATTTTTTTTTTTGAAAATAAGGAGGTTTTCCATTCTCACCTTTAAAAAAACCCCCCCAATTTTTCTTCCCCCGGTTTCAATTGAAGGGCCAATTTTTCGTTCTGAATGTTTTTTCCAAAGGGGTAAATTAAAATTTATTAAAACAAAAGTTTCCCTTTGAAA